CAGGAATATTCAATGATAATCATATAATGCGTATAAGAAGGCCAACAAATAAATTGTGGTGCAGAAATGCCAAAAATATAGTTTAAACATCTTGGTCACAAGCCTCAATTAACAAGCAAACTCAATCTCAATGAGGATCTCTAAAAAGTGCTTTATGTTTTTTAAAAAAGGGGAAGGAATATTTTGGCTGTTATTGTGTTGTTATGTTATCTTTAAATCCAGTATCAACTGCGCTCTACTACTACATACAGTATAGTGTTGGGTGTTTTTAATCTGTAACTGCATAAACGGATGAATGCAAATCTATAAACCGCCAAATAAATGTAGTGGAGTAAAGTGTACCATATTTACAGTAGCACCCGGAACTGTTGAGGTATGCGTTGTTTCTAGGGAGACGGTTGCCCTGCACACAGCCCCGTTCCCACTGTTTACATGATGTCAGTGCTCTCAAACAGCATGTTATTGTGCTGAAGCTCCTATTCAAGTCAGATTTGGACGCTTTTGGACGTTTTCTCGTTTAGTCGCCGTGTCGCAGGAGGATGTTCGTAAAGCTCTGTTAGAGCTGATAGTGGTTTTAGAGCACAGATACTGGTCCCAGTTACCAAACCAGCACCCGGTGTTAGCTAGCAACCCTGTACGGGCCGGGTGATGGTCAAAACCTGGGGCGACGTTTGTAGTTTGAGTCCGTTTAAAACACGCTACATTTGAGAAATGCCTCCTAACAAACGGATCCACAAGAAAACACTTAAACTGGAGTGTGAATGGAGTTCGTGTCAGGAGTCCTTCAGTCGGATGGAGAACTTCTGTAAGCATGCGGAGGGTCACCTTACAGCTGTGAACATGGCGGAGGACGAAGAAGAAGAAGAAGCAGAAGGTGAGTGTTTTAGTGTTATAATTCAATTCTAATTTGATATTAGTGAGCAGCTTGGGAGTAGTGAGGTATTGACACAAGATACTGGGTGTTAAACTGATGTGCATCTCCCAATTCATAGCTAAAGTTTCTACTCCAGCCTAATAGTTACTGCTCAATGTAATATCTAATGAGCTGCAGTGCTCTTAAACAACAGACAGTAAACAAAAAATACTGATGCATTGCATAGCCCCCCCCCCACAAAAAAAAGAGTGACACCTACTAATCCAAACTCTGTGCTCTGTGTCTAGCAGAGAGAAACTGTCTTTGGAGAGACTGTGGTTTCTGTTCAGTGGAGGGTCCTGAGGAGCTGCGGAGGCACCTGTTCTTTCACTGTTACCATACCAAGCTGAAGCAGCTGGGTCAGCAGGTGCTCAACGCCCAGCCGGAAATCGGCACCTGCTCCATCGGCTACCACAACCGCAACAGCATCCCTGAAATCCCAGACAATTTTATCTGCCTTTGGGACGAATGTGAGGTAAGATTGGCTGAGGCCCGTGCTGCTGCTGCTGCTGCTGCTGCTGGAACAGGGCAAGATTACTTGTTTAATAAACATCTGCTCTACATGTGGGCATCAGTTGAATATACAAGGTGTGGTGTGTACTTTGTATGCTTCAACTAATACCAATCCACGATGCATTTAAAGTAAAGACATCTCTTTGTCTCTCTCTAACAGTCTACATCTGTGAAACAAATGACAACATATTGTCTGTTAGTAGTCATAAATTCACTTGATGATGATGATGATGATGAACAGTTTGATTTTACAAGCTAAGCAGTTGGTGAACAGTTACTTGAACATGACCTCTGTGTGCACACAGTTAAAATAAATTTGACTAAGAATTGAAATCATGTCTTCTTGTACTGTAAATAATTCTGACTGTGTATTTCTTCTTTCTGTGTATATTTGTTAAAGCAATCTCCGTATGAAAACCCAGAGTGGTTCTATCGCCATGTGGAGATGCATAGCATGTGCATGGATATACCAGCAGGAGACTGTGAATTCCCAGTACGCTGTGGATGGAAAGGTAGGTTTAACATGATTTATCTCGAGATTATTGCTCAGAAATATCAATGCAGCTAAAGATTACACAACAGATTTATATAAAAATGCTGAGTAAATTTTCTACTCAACAGTAAGAATGTAGGATTGTTGTCACTGTACAGATTGCGAAGCCACTGCAAAAGGACGTCCAAAGTTGCGGGAGCACCTGCGCAGCCACACCCAGGAGAAAGTGGTGGCATGTCCAGGCTGTGGGGCGATGTACGCCAACAACACCAAGTTCTTTGACCACATCATACGACAGAGCGCCATGGAAGGTAAAAACCGGTTCGAATTATTACAGGAAAGATCAACAACAATGTTTACAAACTGTTTTAGCTTCACATTGTATCATCTAGTAGTAATTTCTTTGTGTGTTTGTTTGTATGTGTGCTGTAGGTCAGCGGTTCCAGTGTTCTCACTGTTCCAAACGTTTTGCTACAGAAAGGCTGCTGAGAGACCACATGAGAACCCACGGTCAGTTTCACCACCATGTATCAGTGTTATCAACCGTTATTCCCATGGGCTGGGGAGAACTTAACTAACCACACTGCTCTTTTTGCATGTTTGATCCACATAACTTCACAGTTTGAACTATTAACCATTTTCCAAACTACACCTTATATTTTTACATTTATTTCAACCTTGCAGGTAGACTGTGGTTTGAGTTCATGCCCATTGTATGTACACTGTACTCGTTTTATTGCACTATATTCCCCAATGCTGCTGTGTGTAATTTGAATTTCTCCTGTGGGGGATTAATAAAGGTATATCTTATCTTATCTTATCTTATCATACAAAATTACACTTATAGACACTGATAGATTGGTATCATAATACATATGATATACGCGCTGTTCCATCCAGTTGAACATGTGGTCTAAAATTGTCCTTCACAAGTTTGCAAGTTTTGTTTGTTGTTCTTTTTTCCCCCACTGGTGTTGCCTTAAATTCATACCTACACACACACACACACACACACACACACACACACACACACAGGATTGAGCCTCTGCACAGGTGTACTAATAACCATCTGCAAACATCAGTAAGCCTCAACTCTCCGGAGGCCCACATCCCTGTGTGCAACTCGCATTGCAAAGAAATCTCTTTGCTAGATATTCGTTGTTATAGCAACAGTGTCACGTTTTAAAATAAATTATTTCACAAGGATTTCTTGGCTTGACACAAGCATGAATAAAAGTAGGTTTTTATGATGTCTATTTTTGATCAAGTGACCATGTGATACACTTTGGTGTCCAAGTGAGTGAGGCAATCCTGTTGACAACAAACAGCTCTGCAGTATTATTAGATGATTTAATCTCGTCACTGGATTGTCTTTTTCTTGTTGGTACAGTGAGCCACTACAAATGCCCACTGTGTGACATGACTTGTCCATCGCCCTCTTCGCTGCGCAACCATATTAAGTTCCGCCACAGTAACGAGAAGCCATACAGTTGTGAATACTGCGAATACAGGTATCACGTCCTCTGAAGCTGCAGCATCGCAAAACAAGATTAATCTGTTGAACACGCACTCGCATTGTTGTTGACTTAATACTCCCACACTTGATTTTGGATTTGCAGGTGTAAGAATTTGATCGACTTGCGCAAACACCTAGATACCCACAGCAGCGATCCGGCGTTCCACTGCGACGTCCCCAGCTGTGATTTCACCTCTCGTACCCTTGGCACCATGAAGATTCACCACAAAAGAGAGCACGAGGTGAGAGGGGCAGTCTCCTAAATGATTCTTAATTTCCACTCAGAGAGGGGGTTTTGATTATTTAATAGTTCTTTAATGTTTCCTTTTTTGTGATCAGGGGAGTTTTGTTGCTCGCTACAAGTGCCACGTGTGCGACCAGTGCTTCACCAGGGGCAACAACCTAACTGTTCATCTGCACAAAAAGCACCAATTCAAATGGCCCTCTGGACACCCCAGGTTCAGGTTAGTCCCGCACTGACAAATCAATCAATCCAGTAATGCTGAATTTGAGATGTGTTGCAGCACCGATGGTCTTATCATCACTCTGTCAGGTACAAGGAGCATGAAGACGGCTTCCTGCGGCTGCAGCTGATTCGCTACGAGAGCGTGGAACTGACAGAGCAGCTAATGAGGGAAAGACAGAACAGGCAAGGGGACGAGGATGAGGACGGTGGCCAGACTGAAGATCAGGAGCTGGAGGAAGAATCCCCGGGGGCGGCTCCCTCAGAGCTGCAGGTAGAACTGAGGGGGGTGCTGCTGGAGGAGCAGAGGACTGAGGAGCCCACCGACGGCCCTGAAGAGGACATGTTGTACGTTCTCACTGGAGGTTTGTCACAAACAGGGGAGGACTCTGTCATGCAGCAACTCCAGGATACTGCTCAGCAGCAGGGAATGCAGGTGGTCTGACTACAACAACAGCCCTGCATACACGACCTACACATGGCAGGACATTTTGTAGTAAGCTGTGCTGTTTTACAGATACATTGATAACATAGGATCTTGTGGGATTTAATGGGAGCTGGTACAGAGATGTAGTTTAGATTTTAGAAAGCAAGGCACTTGATAATAAATTAAAACAAAGGGATGCATACTCCATGATGAGCCATATTGAGCCTATATTAGGTAATAACCCTGTTTTAATATGTTTTGTTTACTAATGTTGAGCTTGTGGTGGCCCTGTTTGCCAGTATTTAAGATACTTTTCAATTAATTCATTGAAATCATTCCCTTTAACATCTTCAGACAGTTGGATTGATACTAATGCTGCACTGCCTAGTGGGTGGTCGTTGTCTTTTAGATGGGAAAGCTGTCCTTACAGGAATGGCGTGTGTGGAACCCACCAAAGAGGGCCCTACCACATTAGCTCATAGAGTGTGTATTTTTTGACACTTGAATAAACTTGTGACAAAATGTTTGCAAAAATCACATTTGAAATAGTTTTTTGTCTTTTAAATCTGCACAAAACACATTTAGCAAATTTTACATTTACATATGACTTAAAGATTATTATTATTATCATTATTAGTATCCTCTGTGTGTACTTCCATTATGGCGACCCCTGCTGAATGTAATGGCTCCACTGCAGCTCGATTTATATCAGATTCTTCTGGAAAAGACATTGTTATCTAAAATGTGGCAAAACACATCTCTGGGTAGACTGTTTGACTGTTTGTGTACAAGCTAATCAACTTAGTGTGAGATTTTCCTCCATTGGATAAAGCATAATTTCTAGCCCAAAAATGTGTATATATATGGTATATTTTTTTTATTTTACCAGTCAAAGGCACATACATACAGTACCAGTGCCTTGATGGCAAATGTTTACAAAACCATTCTTAACCTTAAACCTCACAATGTGATCTCATCCTCCTTTTTGCTTCGCTCTCATGGAAAGCTCTGGTGAGCAGGTGACTTAAATCATGACAAACCTTTGCCAAAGCAGTTTGTCCTGTCACAGCGTGACATGCAGCACGTAGTGGCATTAGCTGTGTGTAGAAGATTAAGCAGCGCACACAGAGCTTAGTTTAAGTGTTACTTACTGTTCTCTGCTTCTTCATCCTGCAGTCAGTGAACTCGGCTCCACTGCAACAACTTCTAACGGCTTCATGTCCCTTGACTTTGCAAATATAATGGTGTATAGTATGTTTCTGGACAAGAATATGACTTAGAGTCAGTTTCCAGATCCATCTGCAGTTTTTCACAGAAACTGATTGCATCAGAAGATGGACACCATGACGTTATATCCCCTGCTGCTGCTGTTGTTTGGGTGCGTCCAAAGAGCTGTTTCTCAGTTTCCTGGATGGATTGGAGAGGTGGAAGGTAGTGGTAAGACCTCCTATAATACCAGTATAATGTTATTTTTTCTATCATGTCTCTATGTCATGGGACAGGGCTAATTGGGTAGTAGGAGCAGTTCTTATGGATCCCTACAATAACATCCACAACAATATCATCTTTCGTAACCGTGGCCTTGAAGCCTGTTTTTATTTATTATATGGATGTTTGTGATTTGTATTTGTTTTTTGTATGTGACAAAGCTAATACAAATGTTTCCCTGTAGGTGAGATAGAATGGATTCCACAACCAGATTTCATAGACGACGTGTATTGGTCCGGGATAGCCCCCATTTGTTTTGGAGGCTGTAAGGCACAGCACCAGGAGCTGAGGAGAGATCGCTGTGGAGACTCGAGCTGCTGCTGGCTCGGCTACAAGTCCCTGTGCAGAGGTAAGATTACAACAACAACGATATTAGATAAAACCCCTTAAACACAGAAAAACTGAAGTCGCTCTGTCTGATCAATCTTTAATGAAGCTACATGTCAGGCCTTGACTTTGTATTTCCTTTGCTTTGTATGGCAGTGAATTGTGGGAAGCCAGATGTGGACTATAATGGAGTAGTGTATGGTAACGACTGGTGGGTGGGCTCTGTGGTGAGGTACGCCTGTCGCTCTGGCTTCATGCTTGTGGGAAGCCCAACCAGATTTTGCCAGCCTAATGGCCTTTGGACCCCGAAACCTACCTGCCTCCGTGAGTAAACTCTAACCACAATGATTGACAAGATTTTATGATCCCTTATGATAATTTTAGCTCATCACATGATTTTTCTCTACCTGACGTTTAGGAATGTGTCCACGGGAACGCGTTGAAATCAGTGAGAGGGAACTAAATGGGACGTGCAGCTCCACCTGCACAAACAAGAGCTACTTCGGCCCACCCAAACAAGGCTGCAGTCGTATAGACAACTGTAGGAAGAAGGAGACTGGCTGGAAGCGGTTCTTTGCACAGTGTGTCCCTTGCGTTTGTGACTGCGCTTTATCATGTGTTGAGTTGCTCGCCAAGCACACTGACAAGCATAAATGATGGACTTGTTGAACGGATTGTACTGACTGTAATGAGAGCATGTTGCAATGTTGTCTCACCGCAAATACACTCGAATGTGGTTAATTATTGCTTTAAACATGAATTTGTTGGCTTTCTTGGAGGAATTCCAGTGCAAAGAACACCTTTTTGTCTTTTTAGTTTTAGCATCTGCACCCTAAAACTTGGAGAGATTACTATGTGAGACATGAGATAAAGAGGAAATGCTTGTTTTTGCTGCTTCATCCAATTGTGTAGATAAATCAGTGGACCCAAATCTGGATGTTTTAATACATGCATTTAATCAGTCTGTCTCCTTGGTTTCTATATATAGAATTTTACAGTATTAAGATTTCAGTGCCTGAAGTTCAAATCCCTCAGAGTCAGTGGTGAATTATAAGCAGCACAGAATTGTTTAATTCGGTCTGTGCGCTGTAAGGTGGCGACAGGGTCAGAAAAGAAAAGTGAGGTGAATTTTAGTTAAAACTGTCTGAGAGGCTGTGTCAGACTAAGATAATTATTTTAAAACCTTAAAATAAAATGTTGAACTCGAAGTGCCAAGTGGTGAGGTCTGTTTTTATTATAGGAAGCTCATTTTGAGAAGGCAGGTGATTGTTCACTAGGCAGCATTTGGTAGCTCACACAGCACTCTCGGGTTGGTTGATTTAACAAGGTGCTATAATTTCATGTGACAGATTCAACCTACCAGGACACAGACACATACTACGTAACAGGTGTGTCTGTAAACATCTTTTTGTCTCTAAGTGAGAAGAAGAAATAAAGATGTAGACGAGGAGAGAGGTAAGTGAAAGCCCAGAGATAAGCTCTCTGCCTCATCGCTCCTCCTCTCACTCCATCTGTCCTGGAAAGAGATTTAATCTTGTTACAAAGGGAGGAGCTTCGGTCAGTGTTCATAGTTAGACTGTCATAGACCTTTTATAAGGAAAATATTTCTATAGGTAGTCTATGCTTTTTGGTATTTAAATTATTGTGATAAATAGCACAAAACATTTATTTTTATTGTAAAATCAAATCTTTATTTTCTATATAGATTTATTTTTAATGTTAGTATGACTTGTGCTTTGGAAAGGAACAAAAAAAGACCACACACTAATCAACATTGCGAACACCCAGTCCATGGGCATTTGGTTATAGAACCTTTGCCAAACACTTTTGAATCCAGCACTTTGTTTATTTTTAAAAGAGTGAGGTATCTCTGGGCTTTTAACAGAAATCCAAAGCCTGAATTTGCTGCAGTTTCCATAAGCAGACTTGTCATAAACTGACAAATGATGCCACTCATAATCGCTGCATGCCTCTCACGTCCCACTTCAACCTTTGCACTCAAACAATTGTGACAGACGGTACCCTTCCTAGCATGTGACATTTCTTCTTACATTGTCTCTGTGTGATCTTATTGCGGTCATTTCTGACAGCCCATATATTTTCAAAGTCAAATGTTAACTATAACTAACTCAAAGGTGACACAAAGCTGGCCAAACATTCACAAAATGTAAATAAATGTCGTGTTTATTGTTCAACCAATGCCACAATGTGAATATTTGCTCACATGTTTTATATTTTGCAATCCAGTCAGGTGGAGAAAATTAAATTTGATGCACTGACTCACTAGATTTGATTTGAATGACATTGCTCCTGAAAGCCACTAGATGTTGCTGTTTTGTTTATTCTCACAACACCACTTCATTATCCACAGACAACCACAAATGAAAAATAAAATCAGGTTCTTTTCCACATCTGATCCTGGAGAGTTACTGCTCAGCACTTCAGCTTGTTCATCACTGTTGACCCCAGGTGCTGAACCTGAAGATGATGTGTTCACCAGCTTTAGGTTTGTAGCAGCCAACTCCTGTGGAAAGGGACAAGTGTGGATCAGAAACTGACATATCCATACGTAAAACCCAGCTCACTTGTGCTGCTCAGTTGACAAGGTGTTCTTGCAGTAATAGTAATTAAAGCAGTGTTTCTCCTATGGAGCTTAGGGGTATTTTGGAGTACTGCAGGGGCTAAGTGACTTTAAAAATATATTCTAATTAAAAAAAATGTCAGTCATTCATAACTACTAAAATAATTATACTATAGTAAGTTCAATAAAAAATGTAAATGTAAGTTCAGTAAGCCAAATGTCATATTCAATATGTCTATTTTCAATCCGATTGTTAACTGCTGGAAACCCTCTGGAAATAAGTCTGATCACTGCAGTTGCCTCCCTGCCAGAGAAACAAACTCATATTTCCCAATAAAATATATGTGCAACTTAAATGCTATTAAGTTATTGTATAATGACAAAAAATGGTTTGCCATGAATTTATCAATAGGTTGTTGATAACATTTGAAATAAAGCATCTAAGTGTTTTTCTTAATAAATCAGACACAGATGGTGCACTGCTGTATTGTACCTCTTTATAAAGGCTTTTTTTCCTCTTCCAAATACATCATACACTGGTTAGGGGTTACTTATTATTTCAAAGGGAGCTTCATTAATGAAAAACTGTTTTAGAACTAGAGGATAATGAGCAACTATTGATACATCCTCTTTACTCCAAAAACCAAAGAAGCACCCAAATTATGTAGTTGCACCACTTGCTCACGAGCAGCACAAATCACACCAAATATATTTAAGACAGAGAGTGACTAATCACAACAATAACATTTTTGAATAATCACACAAAAACACATCCGGAGGCAGTAAGTGAAAGGACAGCCAATTCTCCTGCCTCATTAGAGCTCATTAAGTCTTCCTCAGATATGCTGTATTTAAATTCTGGGGAGGATACTCACCCACATCCAGCCTGCTGTACTCTCCGGAGCTTTCTAACAGGATCTCCCAGTAGGTCTGCTCACGCTCACTTCCAGCTACTCCATTCACACTCTCCAACAACAGGCCAAAGTCTGGGTCCTCCTTCACTGTGAACCTTGCAATACACACACAAACACATAGAGTCAGGACATCTATCATGAGCTTAAATATGTAGATGAAACAGCTGAGACACCTTTAAGAAAAAAAGGATGAAATGCAGAGGAATTAAAGGGGATGTCACGGGTGGTCTTACTTGAAGTCCTCTTGTGTTTCCTGTAGTCTTCTCAGAGCACCCAGCAGCACACCTCCCTCTACCACAGTGCTGGAATAGGACTCGGGAGTCATGTTAGACAGGTCATTCTCCACAGACAGTCTGATAGGAAGAGTCGCTGGACCTGCACACCATGTGTTATTCAGTTACAGTGATGCTGTGCTTGCAAAAACAAAAAATGAGTAATTTAAGTTATATATTTATACTATCTTAAATATTCACCTGTGTTTGTGACAGCTCCTTGTGTCGAAAGCAGAAAAAAGGCCACAGAGAGGAGAGCAGCTGTTCCTAGTGCCATCCTGTACAATGTATTCCCCTCAGATGACTAATAACACTTCAGCTCAGTACATATAGTATGCCTAACCCTCGTTTATGAGCTCACTCTCCACTCCTTGAATTACCTTCACTCCTGCAGTCACTGTGTGTCTTTGCAAAGACATCTTAGCTGAGTTTAAATATTCACAGGCACAGACTGAAACTACAACTTCATGAGTTCTCTTATCTCAAACATGGGGCAGTCAGTCACTGTTAATGTGTGGCTTATGAATAGAGGAACACTATTATCCCTGAAGTGACTTAATGATCATTGAGTTGATTAATGATCTGCTTTGTGGTTTTTTAGGCGCCATGAATGAGAATGGTTGCTTGCTTTTAGATCATTTATGAATGCAAATTTGAGTCTATTCTACAGAGAGTGTAAGAAAGGTCATTTCTGTTTCCTCAGGCAAATATAAGAATACATTATGCAATCAGGATTTGGCCTTTGAAGTAGAATAATAAATTGAAGTAGCACCTGAGGTGTCCCTATCGCAGTCAAGCTTAAAAATGGCAATGCAACACATTTACTGGAGCCAAATAACAAAGCATCCACCTTTATTTTGAATACTGACTTGTCTCCGTCACACCAAGGCAGAGTTATGGATAAATGACAATACACAAATATGTGGCTGACAACGCAGTGCAAACCAGAGTTGGTCTAATCATATAGTCTAGGCTTTGCAATCAGTGTGATGGGTTCAGATATGCATGTGTTACTCTGTGTCTAAGAATATGGTCCTGGCTGATAATATTAGCAGATACGAGGAGGCAAATCACACACAAAGAGATGGGTTGCTGCGCTGAAACTGCTCGTGTTGGCGACGTGACAGCTCGTTTTAAATTGGTCTGATTAAGGGGCAGGTGCGATTGGCTAAAAATGGTTTTGATTTCCTCTCATGGGTGATGTAAGGCATGTAGGGCCCGTTTGAACGAGAGTAACCCCGGCTGTTTTACCGAAAATAACCCGGGCACTGCAGCATCAGAACCAGGCAGCTGCGCAGGTGCGGCCTTTAAAGAGACAGCGGGGCCTTAAAATCTGACCACAAAACCTTCTCCTCATGTTTACACTGACTGCCAACAGCAGTGCACTGACAGCGACAGAGCCCACATTTTATCATCTGTACCGGGATAATGTGGCAAGGTGAGAAATTAAAAAAATAATCTCTCATTCACAGCGGAGCTTTATCCTGATTCCATTGTGTTATTCCCATCTCTCATCATTTCCTCAGAGACAGCAGCCCAAATTCTCCCCTGAATAGAAAATGGAATATTTAAAAGGTTTAAACTGACACCTCAGAGGCTAATTTACTGAAACAGGTTGTGGTGGTCAATCAGATCTTAATAAATGTAATTAACAGTGAGGTAATTCCAACTTTTGGGTCAGTTCCCAGCCTTAAATCACCGTAATATGCTTAAAAATGTCTTTACATAGATTTAAAATGTGTCTGTTTTTGTATTATAGCAAACCACTGTAGGGCTGCTGTGCATATAGTGCCTTGACAAAATGCTTCATGTATTTACTTTTTACTGTGAGGCTCATATTAAAACATGAGGTGAGGATTAAGATTAGAAGGAAACAATCAAAACCAGCTTCCTCCAGTAGCATCCTGTCAGCAACGCCCTGTATCCCAGACCGGCGTGCGTACCACACAGACGCACTAACCGGTAAAGAGGGTAACGGCGGCTGCTACATCGAGCTGCTGCTGCTGCTGAAGCATCTGCAGCACTGTTGGTCTGTTTTTTTGTTCCATTCCAGATGTCAGGGGCTGAATGATTGTCCTCAACACCATTGCTGAGGATGTGTGTGAATATTCGGTATGTTCGGGACGGATGGATTTCATGGAAGGAATAATCCTACCGAGGAATAGAAAGAACATGACAGGCATCCTGTTCCCCTGACGATTCTCTCTGGGATGCAGTCATAGTTTGAGGCCGGACATGATTTTAATCTCAGGAGTTGCTGTAGTGGATGCGGGACGATGTGCGCCGCACCCCGAGAGATATTGACAAGGAGAACACAGCTCGGTCCTTTAATGCCCCTCAACCGATCCGGATTTTTCCAGGACTGTGGTGCACAGTGAGCATCTTGGGCTTGTTGGGTTTTTTTTTTGTTGTTGTTGTTGTTTGTTTTTTTTTTTTTTTTTTTTAGCTGGCTAGGACTGTTTTGGGGGACATTCTTGATGTGGATGGATTGTGCTGTTTTGTCTGAAGGGATCGACTGAGCACTGTTGCTCTCACCCCGAGAGGAGAACCAGGGCTGAGCTGCTCACCTGGTCATTTCAAGACACAACAATAAGTATGTGCAATGCGTGGCGTGCGTGTGTGCGTGTGCATGTGCAATGCAACACACAGCAGGCTTGACTGGTAAATCCACAATTCGGCTACTGTAGATGCGTCCTCAGAAAAGGCTCCTTTATGTCTCTAGTCTTCTAAAAAAAAAAAAAAAAAAAAAGTCACTTCTCCCCACTGCTCTGTCATTTTGCAGCCTGAATTCTGTTTCATGTTGTCAATCTCACCAGTTTGTTGTTAACAGGTGCTTTGTGAAGAGCTGGGAGCATCCTTCATCACTGAAAGTCATTGCAGAGCACAGAATCACCACACCACTGCAAAGCCCTATAGATACATTTAATAACTATATTTGTGTGACTCACGTGTCCCAGCTTTGGGGCTGCACATGACAGAACATGGAGGCCTTCATCTTACTAAGAGGCCATTAAAGCCTGTCAGTGTTTTTACAGAGCTTATATGCAGGCTGGTAATGGAAATTCACTAATGGCAGGGTGGTCAATAGAAGTCATGGTCAATTTTCTTCACCGGTCCTCTTCACATAAAGATATTTTAGCCTACTACAGGTAGGTCCCATAGTAGCTCATGGGCAGTACACAGCAGCTGGAGAGTACTAAAGAACTGCATGGCAGCAGTGGATGTTTGTATACAGTGATTATGTGTTCACACATGATAGGAGGTTTGATTAGGAGAGTTAGACGTGAACAGACTTGTTTATGCATGTATGTGTCTGTCACCATGTGTTGTTTTCTGTTTTTATTAACTCATACATTTTCAAAGCTGTCCTAAAGGTGTTCTATTGGTTGTAGTGATTTGTATGCCAATGTCAGGCATAGATATTGAAAAAAGGCAATTTTTCAATTATTTGGATAGAATCAGGTGGTTTTGTATATCAGCTATGATCTATTACTAGTCCTTATACAACAATGCACAACTGATTTGCAATAAGCACATCCCATTTGTTGTCCTGCAGCATTAAAACATGACCACCCGCAAACTCTGGACTGATAGTTGCACAGCTTGTTAATTACAGCTAGACTACTTATCTAAAGTAGGCCACACGACTTTTGAAAACTCAAGTTGAGTCATGCACGTAATTCTCTTAATTCATTTCATTTAGCGCGGGACCTTTTGTGTTGAATAACTGTTGACTTTTACCTGACTAATGAAATAGTAACATGATTCTGAAGGTAATCTTCAGTGTGCTGATATTAGGGAGACAATGTGTTGTTTCAGTTTCCCATTATGGGAAAACTAATGGTTCAGCAGCTGCTACATGGTTTAACAGACACTTCAGTCTAGGAGGAAATTTATGTGAATCAGCAGTATAAGCGTGCTGCAGGACTGAAACCAGATCCTGACTCCTCACACTCAGAATCTCATTCCCCTCAACCAGCCACTCCACAGGATAAACTGTAATCAGATCATGTGCAGCACCTAGTTTTAAGATGATGTCTGCAGTCATCCTAAAATCATACCTACAACACACTTTTGTGTCCATACATCTGCTGAGGCAACCGTTTTCTGGCAATCAACTAGAGACCAAAGGAATCTTGTTAATTGTCTAGTGTCTTTCAGATCTCTATATTTACTTAAATGGATTTTTCAGGTGAAAATCAATCTGTATCTGAGGTTCAGCATATATGATAAAGGGGATATGAGACAGGATTGGACCTTCTTCTTGTGGAGTTAAAGCTTGAAAAATTAACATGTCTGTCCTCCTTTTGCAGCCTTTCAGCATGGCTGAGAGGACACTGGAGCAGGGCTCAGTCAGCATCCCCATGGAGGAGACCAAACTCCCCGGCGGAGCACCTCAGGAGGCGCCACTGCTCACCCACTTGAAGAAAGTGGAGAACCACATCACTGAGGCTCAGCGCTTCTCCCACCTCCCACGCCGCTCTGCTGTGGACCTGGAGTTCAATGAGCTCTCGTACACCATCCGTGAGGGTCCCTGGTGGAAAAGGAGAGGTACTGCAAGCTCAGTTCACATAGTAACCATGATGGATGAGCAGGCCAGCACCACACATAACGATCAATATCTGGAGGGTAGAAATTTCAAGGGAGGCATTTAAAGGCTTTTGTTGACATTTAAGAAATATATTTTTCCCTCAGTGTTAGTCTATCTCTTTTGCCTTGCCCCATTGTTCTGACACATGTAGCCCAGCCCAGTCCTCACACACACTTGCAGACTTCCACCATGTCGTAGCAGGCAATGTGCTTGTAAGCTTTGCTGCGCTCAGCAGAGTTTAGACATAGTAAATAATTTACACTCGCAGGTTGGCACGCTGTTTGCCTCTCTTTTCCCTGTGTTGTCTGGCGATAGGCGGTGGCAGGCAGTGAGTCAGGCCCGCGATTGATCTGCTCATGAAATATGAACAGCATTTAAACTCACTGCCCTTATTAATGGTAAGCCTCTAACCTTTGGTCATCTTGTCAACTAAACCACCCTCTGCAGACTGTTCTGTTTAGCTTCTCTTGTAATGTTCTGTACATTCAGCAGGTTGTGGTTGGGCGACTTCAGAGGAATCTTTTATTTACATTCTCCAAATAGTGTCCTGTGGAGTGGCCCTGCATGATGCATTGCAGGTTGTCTTGTGTTATATTGATGCGCATTATGAAAGCCGGGCAGAGGAGTGTTTGTTGTTCCACTGTGAATGTATGGAGAGTATTCATGAGGAGGATCATGAAACAGATACAGCGAATGGCTCCAGAGCAGTGGTCAGTAAACCAGCTTTTGTTTGATGCAGTGGTGCACATGTTTTTCCTCTAGTAGCCTCATCAACCTGTGGTTTCTGCTTTTGTTTGTGTTGTCTCTTCAGGGTGCCTGCCTCAGCTCATCAGACTGATGATGTGTGAACAGGAAATGTCTCAGCTTTTACTAATTAAGCGGCATCTTTTCATAAAGATGCTCGCCTGCCATTTTACTCTCCTTCCAATCTCAGAAACCTCCTGTCATATATATACCGCTCCTTATAATTCCTCTTTGCCTTTTGAGTTACCTCTGCCACTGACATTGAATAACAAGCCACACCTAACATTATAATCAGTGCTTATATTTGACACGAGCTGTAGTTCATTCTGAAGGGCTTGTCTGTGTTTGTGACTCATTTAAGAAGCTAAGCTCAGAGACGATTTTCTGCAGTCCCTGTCTGCCTGATCAAAGCTGTAGAACAGGTGTAATCACACAGAGCTTAGGGCTGTTGTTCTGCTTTGTGCTTTTGTAGCCAGTGATTATTCCTCCTTGGGAATAAAACACATCATTTTATGCTGAAATATATGCAATTATACAGCTAGTAGAGAAGAGGAGGGGGGCAAGGTGACATGTAGCATGAACCATGAGCCTTGAATGCATGATGTCATTTGTAATTTAATGTTTTTAGTCCTTGAGTCACTATGAGTCATTCCATAAAATGTGATGAACAGGAAGAGCTTACCAAGAGGAAGTCACTGTAAATGCAGTAAATGTAGAGTTGTTTCTTTTGGTGTAAAAGGGTTCAGGAAGGTGATGTATTCACTGCCCTGTGTCTGTGTTTGTTATTGTAGGCTCTTCTGGGCGAGGGCAGCCATTTATCCCTGTTAGGATGATGCTGCTGCTGCTGTGACCTGCTTTCATGTTCAGGGTATTCTCCTCTTGTTGAGGTATTCTCCTGGTGAAACACTAGCCCTGCCGTTAAGGGGGAAGGACAGGAAGAGGGAGGGGAGGGAGGAGAGGGAGGAGAGGGAGAGCAGGAAAATGTTTACATGCCTCTAAGTGATTTAAGCTCTGCGTTTTGGTATTTTCTGCATCTCTGAACCTGCATTGATGATGTGAGTTTGTCAGAAGGGAGAGGATTCTGGTCATCTTACACATCTTTTACTTAACTTAATGCTCTTTGCTGCTTGGACCGTGCTCCTTTTAAAATGCATCACCACACACACAGAATGGTTGCAGAATGGTTATGAAAATGTATGATTAATCAGATTTGAAAAGAAATTCTGTACATGCAGCTCACGGTGACGTATAGTAGTTGGATTTGCTTATTTATCCTGTTATGTTGTAGACTACATGGTCAAACAAGAGTCAACAGAAGTAAAAGTGATGTATTTGTCAGTATTAGCAGTATATTGCCTACCACATGTCCTAATGTGATGGGGTGGACCATAAGAAAATTATGTTATACCTTCATTTTGGTTCTTTCATGCCATCATTTTCTTTTTTCTGAGTGTACAATTCCATAGCTTGGACAAATTAACTTATCAATATGCCTGGTTGCTCTAAATACTTAATTGTACATCAGAAGATGTATCGGGTGCTCTTGGAAACAGGGGAAGAAAACTGGAAGCAATCCAGGCATTCAATTGCCTTTTTGTTAATCCAGTTTAAAAGACTTATTATATATATATATGTATATATATATATATCGGCGTATATATATATATATGCCGCGACGAGTAGGAGGGCCGCCGCGGTGAGCACGGAAGCCTAGGGCGTGGGCCCGGGTGGAGCCGCCGCGGGTGCAGATCTTGGTGGTAGTAGCAAATATTCAAACGAGAACTTTGAAGGCCGAAGTGGAGAAGGGTTCCATGTGAACAGCGGTGGTTGATTTGCATTGTGGGTAATGTAGGCACCTTGTTTTGATAATTGAAGAATGCATGGAAAAAAGATGATATCTTTGCACTTTTGTATTCAAATTATGTTATACTCGTTTAAACATATTTTATCACATCATCATGTGCAAGTTACTGTCCAACAGTGTGACCACTGCCTGGATGTGTATGTTGGCATATAGGAAATTACAGATAAATACAACGTTTGTGTTGACAACTTCTTTAAGATTAGAATACAATTAATTTAGATACGACTGTAGTAAAAAAAGAATTTGAGGGAAAATAAGTTCTTTTTTTATCACACTGGTTCATATTCCTTGTGTGACAACTGAGTTGTCATTTGGGCCATGGGATCCAATTTGAGGCATGTAATGACCCCACCTCAACCATGACTCATAATAATGTATCTAACAATTACTTTGAAATTACCTATGAGATCAGGCTGGAATGGCTGAGCGTGTACTGTCACATTCTGTTAGATCAGCGTGTCTTGTGCTATCAGGAGTGGACATTGAGGTGAGTATACATACTCTGTGGCTCTCAGGAGACTGGGTGATCAGGATGTGCCTGCAGCCACACACAGATAAGACCATTGTTATGCGCGACCTACAGCATCGGGTTAGATCATCAGTATGCACCACATGCCAGAGCAGGGCTGCTTCACTGACAGCAGGCAGCTCTGCTGTCTGAGTGGAGGCCGTCTGATGTAATAACACTGCGTGGGAGGAGGAGGCACTGCCATTAGGCTACTTTACTCATAGAGTGAGGGTTTAAGGGGGCTGGCAGCTCTGCTGAGACCCTAATTACATAGCTCGAGACAGGAAGAAGCATCCCTGTGGACAGTGGAAAAATGGGTGAGGCGAGGGAGACGGGTGACAACAAGGCAGCAGACTTAAAGCCCTTTTTAACTTTCCATATCTGGAAGCTTTCTGAATCTATGTCAGATGTGAAATTGGTTGTTTTAATGTTTCCACTGTGCTTCCAGGACCACAAAGGTTAGGAAATGCGTCATGAAAAAACCTGAGGCATCTTCATTAGCAGGCCACACCACTACAACCATATGACTGTGGTTTTTCTGTTTGGCGCCACTCGGGGCGTCATGATTTTAAGTCGTTCTTGGGTCTTGTTTCTTTTTTTTAGCTTTTTTTCCTTCACAGTAATTTTGCGCTGCACACCTGACGTCCTACTCTCCTAAAAGGCAGTGGTTTTTATTCTTCAAAGCCAACTTCACCTTGAATTTTTTTTCTTTTCCACAGACACCAATAACAGCTTACACAGCAGCATTTCTATTATATTTTAAAATGGTGGCTGTAGTCAATGTAGCCTGCTAAATAAGGACAATATTGTCCTTATTTAGGGAAAAGACAACATATTTTCTTGACTACTTATGACTGACAACACTGCTAGCTCTGCCTGAGGATTCCTAGTACTCAGATTTATTAGGCTGTGACTTCCCCTTCTGGACTCACTATCTGCATAACCATCCATAGAAACACTTTGAGAATCAGTGAACTGAGTTTCAGGGCTCAGTAAGTTTCAACTGTTCCAACAGGCCCTTAGACTGAACCTGAACCACTGGTGACAAGGAAGGTGTTATAAAGCTCAGCAGACTCATAATTGTTCAAACAGATGGACCACGACTAAAATAACCACAACAAATATATATACTTTTTTATTATAAGGCAAAATGTGAAATCATTTTGTGTCAGCAGAAATTTTCAGTCCCTATGTTGCTTTTATATATGTCTTTTTCTACAATTTTTCCAAAACCTGTGGAAGAACAAAGGGTATAAATAAACATCCCTCAACAGTGAACACTGTAATGGGTGAGGGCGCTTGTGCTTAATCTTCCAAATTAGCTCTTAAAACCTCACTTTTATAGGCTATTGCTATTTTGTTTTTGAGCTTATATATTTATATTAACTATTTCCTCTATTTCTCTCTTCATGGACTGGCAATGAAAGATTACTGTTACTGAATGCTAATACCTGTGGATGTTCAATAGACAGAAATATTTTGTAGACAATCTCATCTACATGTGAGTCCTATAAACAGGCTGGAATCGTAAATATAATAAATTTATTGAAAGCTCATTGTTCAATATGGTCCAATATGTAGCATTAAAAGATACAAAAAAAGATAAAAGAACAAGTCCTGATTAATAACAGCACTATAAATAAAAGCTTTTTTTCTCTCTGTCAGGTTTCAAAGCCCTCCTTAAGTGTCTGTCGGGAAGATTCAACAGCAAAGAGCTGATTGGCATCATGGGGCCTTCAGGAGCCGGGAAATCCACTCTGATGAATATTCTGGCGGGTTACAGGTGAAATGTGGAATTTTTGTTAATGAAGATTCCTAAACAGTTTATATTCTCTTTTTGTTCATATAAGATCATACTTTTGATTTAATTTACTGCTTTGAATATGGCTGCATTTTGTTTTCTGATGGGAAACAGGCAGACGGGCATGAAGGGCCAGATCCTGGTGAATGGTCGACCACGGGATCTGAGGACCTTCAGGAAGATGTCCTGCTACATCATGCAGGATGACATGCTGCTGCCACACCTCACTGTGAGGGAGGCCATGATGGTGAGGTTGTCCGAAAAACATGAAAAAACTCCCAACACATCATTAAAGTCTAATGTTCAATAATAATGTGCTGGCTTCTGTCTTTCAGGTTTCTGCCCATCTGAAAATGAATGAGAGCGTGCAGGTCAAAAAAGAACTTGTAAGTCAGAATATACTGATTGCATTACAATTATACAGTATGTATTGAATTATTCTCCAGATAAAGATGGGCAGGGCAAGAGATGTGTGTCTCACTTAAGAGATGTCAAATGCTAGGTATAATGAAGTATCCTTTAAATATGTTTGATTGTATTAAGTCATTATGGGTAATATCTTCTCTACATTTTCACACAGATGCATTTTATTGTTTGATTTACAGACATGAACAAAACAACAAAGAAGCTAGTTTCAATGAATACAAATTTAAGCAGGCACTTCTGTATATGGATAACAATCGTGGTTGATGTCCACCATCTTGTCTGCAGTCAGGTCGTTTTTGTATCTCCACAGAGTGACATCACAATATATATCAATATTATGATATAATCATATATCATATGTCATTAGTACTATGGTAGAACATTTTATCCATGTCGCCCACCCCTATTAGCAGTTATCTGCATAATCATGTACCTACATTCGTCCCTGTTTGTGTCTAAGGTGGATGAGATCCTGACCGCTCTGGGTCTTCTTGACTGTGCTGAGACACGCACCAACTGTATCTCTGGAGGCCAGTGTAAAAGACTGGCCATTGCCCTCGAGCTGGTCAACAATCCTCCTGTCATGTTCTTTGATGAGCCCACCAGGTAAAATATTACTCACCTAGTTTGAACTGCACAATCTCAACAGAAATCCAGATTAAATAGTGCATCCGTCTCTTTGGTTTTCTGTCTCGTCTTGTGTCCCATCCCAGTGGTCTGGACAGTGCATCCTGCTTCCAGGTTGTTTCCCTCATGAAGTCTCTGGCTCAGGGAGGACGGACGATCATCTGCACCATTCATCAGCCCAGTGCCAAGCTCTTTGAGATGTTTGATAAGGTAACTTGAGTGCTTAAAGTGCTGGACACGTCAAGTCTTCCATTAGCCGTTACTCAGACCAGACCAGGACAATACAGCTTAGCATGATTCATTTTAGCCAGCTGACAAGCAGCACAGCAATCAATGCAAGGCCTGTTGTTTTGTAAGTTGTTCATGTATTATTTACAGAGTCAGTGTGTTGGAAGCTATGTTGATTACTCTGTACTTGTGTTCCTCCACCAGCTGTACATCCTCAGTCAGGGTCAGTGCATATACAAGGGCACAGTCCCTTACCTCATCCCTTACCTGAAGAACCTGGGCCTCCACTGTCCGACGTATCACAATCCTGCTGATTTCAGTAAGTCCAGCAACTCCTTTAGTGCAAGTAAATGTATGTCTGTGTCTGTGTTCTTACTAGCTTGTCCTCTCTGCCCCCAGTCATTGAGGTGGCCTCAGGGGAGTATGGGGATCTGAATCCAGTGTTGTTTGAGGCAGTCCAGGGTGGATTGTGCTCTGAGGAGGGCAAGAAGAACTCCAGAGACAAAAGTGACTCTTCCTGTCCCTCTCAATGTTACAGTGTGAGTGATACCAGCCCCCTCACCATAGCAATACACCTATATGTGTGTCTTATATTTACAGACGTCATGGCCTCAGATCATATAATAAGGAAGCTCTACAACCACAGCAACACAGAAAATGTCTGCCATTACTGTCTTATTTGATGACAGGATATTGCACCAGATTTCATCAGTTCCCGTCAATGGTTTGTGATAGATTAGCTGCAACCATTAAACATCAAATGATTTACATGATGTATAGATATGATAGGAATATGGTAGAAATTATATATGTTCTACTTATTAAACAATTTATAATAAAGCAGTCATGGCTGTGTCCATTTTGACCAAAAGTACTCTAATAAAAGAACCTCAAAACTGAGCAATTAGTCACTTGTGTCGCATTGAAACAAAATACCCCGTTCCCCTTTCCTCCCCTCATTATTACTTATTTTTCCCCAAACTGTTTCACTGCGCCATCGATCTGTCTCCTCAGCCTCCCTCAGCTTCCTCTCACTCTCTTTCTCACCTTCATTAGTTGGTTTTGATAAGGGAATGAGCTAAATGCTAAAAGTATAAATGTAAACCACCAACCAGAGCTCTCTCTGCCATTACTCCTACTTGGTGCAGGGTGCAGTTTTTCCCTTCTACTCTTTAAACATTTTATCAGTTTATTGATTTTCTCCGTTGCCCTTTCTATCTTCTTCTGGGTTTTTCTGTGTAGGCATCAGCCAGTGACCTTTACCATAGACAGAGATTATTGTGTTTTCTATTCTTACATACATTATGCCCATATCTTCATTTTCTGACTATTGCCTCCTAACTTTTATCTTCTTTGATTACATGATTTAAAATATTATATATAAATACAGCAACCTTTTACACTTATCTCTCAGCTTCCACTCAAAATGCTATAATTCTGCACCTAGAGAGTGGTGCAGACACAGGTGTATGTTTGAAAGTATTAATTAGTTTAAGGCCAAAATGCCAAAAGTGAGCTGTCTCTTCAGGATCAGTGGCATAGGATGAAACGATGTGATTTCTCCATGTTTTTGCTACTGGTTGTCTTGTATCTGTGTGAATTACACAACTAAGTCCATGCTCTCACCGTCTTTTTCCACAGGACACAGGAACCCTTGAGAAACATAGCTTTGCCACCAGTACATTCACACAGTTCTGCATCCTCTTCAAAAGAACCTTCATTACCATATGCAGGGACACGGTAAAATCATTATTTTATGAATTATAGCTGCTCAGACTGTGATAGGCAAAACCAATAATTCTATGTACTGTTTCAGGGCTTTTGAGTTTTGTTGTCTGTGTGTTTTCAAGGTGCTGACCCACCTCAGGGTGATGTCCCATCTGTGTATTGGAGTGTTGATTGGCCTGCTTTATTTAAAAATTGGAAATGATGCCAGCAAGGTCTTCAACAACACTGGCTTCCTTTTTTTCTCCATGTTGTTCCTCATGTTCGCTGCCCTGATGCCCACCATCCTAACCTGTAAGATGTTGAGACTTGTGAGAGATTGGAAACATTCATTTGCTATGTTGTTTTTCTGCTTGAAATGCTGAAAAACGTTTTTTTTAATGCTGCTGCTGTTCCACAGTTCCTCTGGAGATGTCTGTGTTTATGAGGGAACATCTCAACTACTGGTACAGCCTGAAGGCCTATTATTTGGCCAAAACCATGGCTGATGTACCATTCCAGGTAATGTTCAAAAGATTGAGCACACAAGGTTTTGGGCATGCAAACAATACATTTCAAATTAACAACACTGCAAAATCTCTTTTACAGGTAATTTGTCCAATCATTTACTGTAGTATAGTGTACTGGATGACTGCACAGCCTCCAGAAGCAGGACGCTTCGTGCTCTTTATGGCCTTGTCCACATCCACAGCCCTGGTAGCCCAATCCCTAGGTCTGCTTATAGGTGCTGCATCCACGTCTCTGCAGGTAGGCAAACCCTCCTCTAAGAAATGTGTGTTGCTTTTTGTTACAATGTTTGACCTTTACTCTGCAGAATGATGTACAGTATGTGCAGAGATTGACACTAGAAGACAGTTTTCAAAGTAATCTGCTATAAAGGGAATGTTTTTTAGATGCTTAAGCACCTTAAATCTGAGTTTGAACAAGACGTGTTTGTACGAACATGATTTTATGCCATCACAACTAGGAACCCATTCATTGTCTAGTGTACAAGTATAATGAGGAAACTTGAAACATACACTGAGAAAGGGCTTTTCAGTAAAGTATAGAACATCTGTCCAGTAAACATATGGAAATATTAGTTTTTTAGTGAGGGAGAAGGAGTAGATGTCATTTTGAGAATTGTTTGGAAAAAAACATACTAGACACAAATATTTATTTGAAGAGGAGTATTTTTACATGCCAGACATCTTCAGTAGCAGACTGTTTATAGGTGCATATGTGAAAATGGTCATATACAGAACTTGGTCTCACCAGATAAAACTTGCAGTCTGCAAATGAAGGCAGCATTACTGCAGCAATGCATACTTATATGATCAAAGGAAAGTAAAAGAAAAGATCTGTGGCTTTAGGCCATCCACAAAGAGGATAAAAATGGCAAACTGTGGGATCAAGACAGTCAATATGTGTCTGTGCGTCTGTGGCAAACACTTCATCACAGGTTAGTTAATGATGTTTCTGAGTAAATGACGTGTGTGTGTCTATAGAGTGAAGAAAATCAGAAAAGAGTCTTAGTGATGGTGTAACCAAAGTCATTATTGTGAATGTTTATGGCCCTACCATAAAACACCCGCTTTTGAAATGGTTTGACAGTGTGGAGCAGAGGGTATTTTAACCTTAATAATTCACATAAACTGAGCTGACCTACCTTCTAATAATTAACCTTATAAACAGCATAAAGTAACGTAAAGCACTTCTTTCTAACTCATCTACTGATCAGATGCATAATTAATATATATATTAAAAGATAATATATAATATATATGTTTAATTATACATCAGGAAGGAAAACCTGGTATTGGAACATCTTTATTTACCAGATCTCTGCATCTCTGCTTAAGCCGAGCAGCTTGAGACTACATAAGCCCCTATTAGCATAACACGTATGAATCTGTGGCTGAACAATGGTTGGGTTTTATTGTGGTTAATGTAGGCACCAGGAAAAAGAATGCATAGAAAGATGATATCATAGTTCTGCTTCATTTGATTTCGATTTTCTCGAATTGTCCGCCATGAGTCTGACGATGTTGATCTGCAATGCTAAATGGGAGTAGTACTTCTTTAAGTTTCTGCTGACAAGATATTTAATTGAGTTTATTTTTTAATTGAATACTGCTTGTTTGTTTCACAGGTGGCGACCTTTGTGGGTCCAGTCACAGCCATACCTGTGCTCCTCTTCTCTGGCTTCTTTGTCAATTTTGACACCATTCCCAAATACCTACAGTGGAGCTCTTATGTTTCCTATGTCAGGTACTGTCACTGTCCCTTTAGTGTTGCTTTAGGTCTTGGAGCTCAGGTTTTTTTCTGATCTGAAATGATTATCTTCAAATGAGCCTGGGTCTATGAGGTTTTGTCAAAAATGTTTTTCAGGTACGGCTTTGAGGGGGTGATACTGTCTATCTATGGGATGAACCGGTCGGAGCTGGAGTGTCCAGGCCTGGTGTGTAAGTTCCAAAAGCCAGAGGAGGTCCTACAGCTGCTGGATGTGGAAGACGCAAAGCTCTACGTGGACTTCATGGTGCTGGGAGTTTTCTTTTTTGTCCTCAGACTAGCTACTTACTTGGTTCTGCGCTACAAAGTCAAGTCAGAGCGTTAAGACGTCCAGAGGCAACCACTGATGGGTTTGGACGCACGCACATATCCCCGGCAGTGTGAGATAGTAAGCAAGCATTTAGTCTCTCTTTCTCTGTCTCTACTTCACATACATGTACAAAGACATACACAAGTCCAGCACATAAAATCATCAGAAAGCTGTGCTGCACCTTTACCCAAGATGTACAATATAACATTACCTTTGAAACAGCTTATTCAAGAAAAAAGAAAGTTCAGACTGTGGAGTGTCGTTCTACCCCCTGCCCATTATTAGTTGTCCTCCAGGTAATAGTATTTTTCAGATCACCATTACCTTCCAAAAATAATGTGTATCTGCATCATATAGAAACAGACTACCCAACACAGTAACAGAAAGCATGTCTCTTTAAAGTGAGAAACTTGTACTGATTTCCGAGAACTCCAAGAAAGCCTCCGGGTTTATGGGGAGCCATAGTAATCATTTTGGTGCAGGAGTGTCCAATAACTAGCTTCTCAATCCAATGCCTACAAAGGTAATCCATGGTCCACATCAGAATCCCGTTAAATACTTAATTGGACAGCACCCATCAAGATGGCCGAGGAACAAGATTTCAAGATGGATACCCTCTTATTGGAGAAGTGGAAACTTTTAGTGCCAGAAAACTTATGCAGCTTCTCCTTTAGGATCATCACATCAGAGTATCCTTACCGAGACGCTGATTACGATGGCTTTTCTTTACGGAATACAACCTTAACAAACCGACTGCCAGTGGATGACTTTCCTCGCTTTCCATCTCCAGTGTGGATCGTTTTTGCAGGCCTTCTGCCCTACCGTGGATGGTGGTAGAATGTTTAGACAAGGACAAAATGTTTGTAAAAACGTCAAGCAGCGTGTCTCACACAGAGACTGATACAGATTCACCCTGCGACAATATGATTCCTTACTTGCTCCTTATTATACACATTTGTTTCTGCCATAACCGAGGAAGCATTCAGTGAACTGGGAGCACAATGTGAAAGCAAGCATGGGTGCTGATTTCGGAGAGCTGTCTTAATCGTATTGCAACGAGAGAATGGTGTTTTAAGTGAAGTGCAATAGCCTATTCTATGGTTAAAAAAGTGATGTTTGTCTAATCGGTGTTGCTCTTTTGACACAATTCTTTGAACTGCTTGTTTCCACTCGTTGTATGACTCTTTAGCTGAGCTACGAAAAAGGAAATATCCTTTTTTCTCTCCTTCTCTTTCTCTCTGCTTTGCTGATGTCTGACAGATGTGTGTTGTCCAAAACAATGCTAGATACTTGAAATGCAGGCTGGGCAGTTTTTGTGCCTCTGAACTAGAATGATTTGAGTTTCTTCTGCTTAATTGTTTGCACATACACTTTATGTCAGCTTACATGCTGGTTCTCTCTTTCTTTCTCTCTCTCTCTCCTCCACACACACACACACACACACACACACACACACACACACACACACACACACACACACACACACACAGGTACATGTGCACATACATACACACACACACAAACACACCCAAACACACATTCACCCTTGGCAACGTTTAGACGAGCCTCTCCTTGTCACAGGGCAATGCAAATATTTTCCAATAGACTTGCTATGAAATATTTCTTACTCAAACTATGCTACTTAGTAATCCTTATTATAATGCATACAATAATGTGAGTATATAATCTATGATTGTACAGTGAATATGTCATGCTGTAAACAAATGTACATTTGCACTTTTCAATGTATGTTTATTCTCTTTTTATTTATTTGTATTTCATTTTATTTTTATATATCTATGTGATGAGTGCTGCTTGAAAGTATAACGGGAAAACAGCAACCGAATGTTGCATGTTCACTTTAGGAATGAAATTTCAGAATAAGGAATAGTGATTTTATTTCCTCATCCATATGTATGTACCCTGCCATGTTTGAGGAGATACAAATCCTCTGCTTTCTGCTGAACATTTTTAAAATATCTGGAATCGAGTGCGTCACTGGTGTAGATAAAAAAAGTAAGACTCAGGAGTGAGAAGGTAACATTAGCGTGTGAAATGTGCTGGACAGATGAAGGCAAGGCTAAATAACAGTCAACCAAATGTGTCATCATGTAGCTAAAGAGATTGACGGCCTCTTTAGGAGCAGACTGGATCAGACAGCAGATACGTAATCACTGATGGAGGTTGGGATTCTGTCATTAATAGCAATAGTCAACATTGTGATGTTTAATTGTTATACCTCTCACTGCTGTGGCAGTTTATGTTTTATATTAAGAACTTGATCTGAGTTATTTTGTTCCTACCAGTTTTATCATGTGCAATAACCATCCAAAGGTACCAATTTCATGAAAGGAAAATGTGAAATTGCTGCAATTAGTGTTTTTTTTTATTTTTTATGTTATGTTTTTGTTGCTGCTTCTGTTAAGTAACATGGGCATGGACAAGTTTACTAGATGACACGCTTAAGGATTTCATTAGAGGGACAGAAGCAGAACAATAACAGTAAAATGTACTGTAGGTGGGTGCTGGATAAGCTAAAGCCACTGGGCAGATGTTGCCATTTTAATGTCAGACCCCGTCAAGATAATTGGTTCTCAAGGAAAATGTGTAGCATCGGAAAAATACTGCATAAAGTCAGTTTTACCGCCAACACAGCAGATGTGTGTTTTAACCTTCTCCAAATGATATCAAAAGCCATGAGTTGGTAGCAGACCTGCAGGTATAACTTAGTATGGTAAAAAAAAAAAAAAAAAGAAACCTAACTGCAGAGAAGAAACAGCTCCAAGCCCAGAACAAAGCAGGGATAATTAGCAGCGATGAAGTCATTAAAAAGTCTAGGAACGTCTCGGCCTGAGGTCTAAAAGCCTGTGGTACCAAAGAAGAAAACAAATCATCCTTCCTCTGCTGCAAAATGTGAAATATACTGGCTGCACTTCTCAGTGAGATTATGTTGTCAAATGACAAAAATATGACCAAAGAAAGTGCTCCGAAAAGACGTCTACAATGTTAGTAGTAATTCAAATCCCACTGGACATATAGATTATGTTCCCTTAAGATTTATTTTCCAGCGGCTCTTTAAGGTCAGAAAAGTGATCATTACTGACAGATATCACTTGGCTCCAGTGGAGATACTAAATAATTTAATCTGAATGAAATGTAATCATGTGTAAGCCGTATTCTGACTTCTAATTGTGCCGGATGCAGCTGATTAGCTATGTTCAACTCAAAATGTTTTTTCACTCTCTTTGACACATTTTTATAATGTCACTATCTCGCCTGTTTGTCATAACACACCACCCGACTTTAGTGCACTCTATCATGCATGGTAAATAATAAAAATCAGGATATCCCTACTAAAAACTACAATTGAACATTAGTTATGGTATGGAAGGCTGTTAAACACCGATTGTTCTTTTTATTTTGTCTGATATGATTTGTTTATCATTTACGGTTTAATTAATGGTTTCTCAACTCAAAAAAATGCAAGTTCTGTATACTGAACGCTGTTCCAAGGATTATAATAAAGATCATTTATAACCTTTGCCCTTGCTCAGTGAGATGATTTGCTCAAACACTGACTGTTACATGTGTATTTGATACATAGCCACAAATCCCCATTGAATGTAATAAGTTAATATCTGGTTATTTGTTGTTTGCTCAATCAATTTCACAGACTCAGTATGAGCACTGAACACTTTGTCCACCAACAAAAGCTGAGACGAGTGACAAAGGAAAAGGCACTGATACCCTGAAGGACCAGCATGTCGCATTTAGGAGGATCTCTTGGCAGAAATTGAATAATATGCGTTACTATGTTTTCAATAGTGTATAATCACCTGAATACAGGAAACGTTATGTTTTTGTTACCTTAGAATGAGCCTTTTATATCTACAGACTTCATGGGTCACCTTTCATGGAGTCTGCCAGAAGGGACAAACCAAACACTGGCTCTAGATAGGGGCATTCAAGTTTTTTGCACATATTACGGCCACTGTAGTTTCTTCTACAGACTTGGAAGGGGAGGGTGAAGTGAGGGAGTTACAACTAGATGCCATCACACTGCTGTACTCCACACTCTCACAGGGGCAACACCTAAAAACACAGGTAGCTAGACTGGGTCAGTTTGGGGAACTATATTTCAGACTTGGTTTCATATAGAGTAGATGAGAACAAATTGAAAAATAATGCTGTTGCAGCAGCAGGAGTATAAGAGTAAGCGGGAGGAAATGAAGGCATCAAATATATATTAAATCATTGTGTATTTACCTACTGGATCTGTTTTAGATCCCATATGGTCTAACAAACTAACTCTAAATCTTATTTAGCTGTGTAGTAAGCCCTAGTTGTCAACAAAAGTCACAGGAGGACACATTTAGTATAATGCCTGTTTATTTTTTTCCACAATGCTTGATTAGGTTGCAGACAAGAGGGACCCCTACTGGCATGAGATTTATACCATTGTTTATACCACCTTGAAAATATGCAGGACTGTATCACTATTTTTTGCATGCCCTATGTGAGATGTGTTTTCATCTTGACATAATGAGGCTGGTGCCTGGTTTGATTTGTCCCATAATCAGTCCTCAGCCAAGCACGTTTTCTCAACTACTACCATATCATTACAACCTGAATCCGGCTGTTTGAAGACACACACAATAGTGCAAACTCCCACTGTGTGAATCTGAGTGACTCATTACTGATTTCAAGTGTGTCACATTGCAACAAAATAGTAGTCATCCAGAGTAAGGGTGTGTGCAATCATCAAAAAGGCTTTGATGGCCATGACAGATTGATGCTCTCACTGTCAAATCAGGTGGTAGTAATCCTAATAAAGGTGTTGCTCACCTGCTACTTGGCTCACATCCAATTCAGCAAACTGAGAACAAGAGGGAAGTTAGAGGCTGATTCATGTACTCAAAATACTGGAGGTGACTGCTATTTTGCAAGTGCTCTGCATGCTACTAGACTTCACTATTGGTTAAAAACCAGAGGTGAAGGCTGTTAGGGATGTGAGGTACTGCAAGCTGCAGCTGAATACACAACAATATCCCAGGATCAGCCCCTGACTGTCTGACAGAAAGGGTGTACACACAGCACAGCAACAAGCATGGGGCAGTCACTGTCTAAATACATAAACTTGTGCTAAGAGGGATAAAGGTGGTAGAGGTACTATGTCGTTCTGAGACAAACGGTACTTCCTCTGGAGCTGCACCAAGAAATAAACATACCACAGATTATAAAAGAAAGTAGAGTTAAAATCCCAACCAACCTTTTCGTACACTTTCTAAGTTGTGTTGCAGTGAGTGAACTGGCCTTTGGGTTGAGAGAGGAGACTCTTCGACCCCTTAATATCCAACCCTCAAAGAAAACATCAGGGCTAAGAGGAGTTCTGTTATTATTGGCATTGACAAACTCAAAGCCTTCAGGGCAAGTCACAGTTGTTATCACAGCACAGCACTCTCGTCAGAAATCTCTCGTAGGAGGAGAGCATGTCCTGTCGAGAGCAGGTATAAAGGCAGACAGCTCCAGCATCGCGCAAACGCTTAGTAAACCACCTACGGCTTTGTAGGTCCTGGGTTTGTGCATTCTGAATAATTGCCACTATGGCAAAGGGGCTTAGTTTCTCCTCTTAGTCTCAGCAGTAAGCACCATAAAGCACTGACCCAGAATTAAATGAGTCTGCTCTTTGGCTGCCCATTGAATAGTGTTTTTTTTTTTGGTCTAAGAACAATAGCATTCCTATTCCTGAATAAAAGGTTTAAGTTCTGTTGGAGCTGCAGTCATCTCCCAACATCTCCCAAAATCAAAGACATGTTGCTCTCTGCTCCTGAGTAAGTGAGTTAACAGTGGGGCAGAGGACACATTTCACCAATCATGCCAGTACAAATACTAGAACAGGAGAAAGAACCAGAAAGTCAGAAGAGCCAAAACGCTGCTGCAGATCCAGTCCACGGTAGCAATCACTGTAAGTCTCGACAGGCAGATGTGTCTCAAAGGGGAGTTCAGTAAGAAGGATGGCTGAGCTTGCCACCCCTTCACTGGGTCCTACCTGATCCGGCATTGATCTGACTCTGGGTGCCAAGGTGTTTACCAACAGAAAAGCCCAGCTGACAGAGCATGTACAGTACCTAATCTTCAAATGACATTTGTTTTCAGTAAGATGAAGACTCCTGCACACATACTGCAGACCCAAGCGTTTCCGTGTTTATTTGGATAGTCAGTCAATAGAGAGTTTACAGAGTGTTTGTAACATTTCATCAGCTTATTAGTTGAGATCCAACAACAGTTTTCTGATATTACACCACCAAGGTTAAGGTTTGGTTAGGTTTAGGCACAAAAAATATCTCAGTTAGGACATGTTCATGTCACATAGTCCTTTACTGTATAAATAATCTGTTTGAAATCTAGAAAGTGGAACAGTTGAAATGTTATAAATATCTGTAGGTGGACTATCCAAATGAAGTGTGAGACGAGAAACGAGAAACGTCCTCTCGATTCCTTTGTATGTCTGGTGCATGTGGAGAAATTGACATTAAATCTGACTTTGACTTTGAAGTGTTGCCATTGGTTTTGTGCTCTTCTGTCATCAATATGTTCATACCTCTCTATGTGGTGTGTCAATTTCCAATTTTCCGAATTAGACAATCTTTTGGACAGCATATACTTATTAATGTCTGAAATACTGCTACAACTGTTATTAGATGTTAACTTAGACGACCAAATTTAGCCAATTATTGTATGTGATCATCATGTCATTGTCATTTAAGAGTAAATGGATGTTTAGTAAATGTTTTGAACCGAGAACACAGTCAACCTACTGGAACATGGACTGAAAAGATATGTTTAGATACCTTCCCAGCCTCTTGGACAGACACCTGTGCTTCTTGTTTCTTACCTCCGGGTTTGTTTTCCGACTTCCGTTCGTTCGAGAAGCTCCATCTTGCTGTTTCTTCATCTTTGCTGTAGACCGGCATTTTCCCACAACACCCTGCTCCTGCTCTCACAGATGACGAAAATGGCGGATAACTCATCTTCGGTAGGTTTTCGCGAGGTATAATTTTATTTTAGGGACATTGGCCAGTTTCAGGTTGCAAATTAACGCATTGTTTTTTACAGGTCGAGATTGTTGAGGGTTGTCGCCTGCCCGTTCTTCGTAAAAACCAAGAACACGAGGACGAATGGCGTAAGTATTGTCCGGTTGTTTTCCAGTGCTAAGCTAACTAATGCTAACTAGCGAGCCTCAGCTGTTGTTAAGAGACGCCACGGCCTCCACTGTAAACACCACACTCACAGGGGACACATGCAGTTGTACAGTGTGGACGGCTTTAATTTAAATGCTTGCTTAAAATCACTTTTACATCCCACAAGACATGAACGAGCCAACTCTCGAGACATTGTTTTAGAAAATGCATTTTATTGGGAAAAGACGAAGCGAAATCCATCTGACATCAGGCTTTTGTTTACAAATCTGAACAGCTCATTATAGCAGCCTTACTGTGCTGACATCTCAGTATATATTCATATGTTTGTATGACATTATTTATCCTCTCATCCATGTTAGTTTTGCGCAGTGGTTCTCAAACCTTTTGGCTTAATTTTGACCTTTTAACCCAAAGTCTAACTCAAAGTCTTTACCCTGACCTCTTGTCACAGGTTGCATGTGTTTATAAGAGAAGTATGTAAAGAGAGCTTAGAGTTGTCTTATTTACACTGATGTTATAAATATTCCACTCGTATGCAATATAAAAGTTAAAGACAAAATATGTGTAGAAGAGACATTTCTTCTTGTGGCACCTTTTTATATTAATCGTGCAAGTAGTGCTGCAACTGAGGTTTATATTAGCGATGTCAAATTATAATGTCAGTAGATCATGCCATTAAAAATTCCCAGAGCTGGGTTAAGGTGGTTTACTCGTGTTGTCTTAGAAACAGTCTAAAACCCAAACAGTATTCAATTTACACTAATGTAAAATGAAATAAAGTAGACTCAAATATTTTGAATTTTTGCATTTGTTGTACGTTAATGATGTAATTGAGTACTCTAGTAGTTGTTTCAGCACTGCCTTTAACCCACAATGTCTGTTGACAATTGTTAAGCATGGTTATAATATCGTTTAATGTTTTAGCAACTATTTCAAGTTCATGTCAATATTTTTTGTTTGAGTATAGTTCACTGCAAGTTTTAATCTGACTTCTTTTTTTTGCAGCGTTGGCTGAGATTTTAAGCGTGAAGGAAGTCTCTTCGAGAAAGCTTTACTATGTTCACTATATTGACTGTGAGTATATTTTGTGTTATCTCTTGTTTTTCTTTGACATTTTAACTGTTATAGTCACTTTGTAGGCTGAATTACATTACACAGAAACATCACACCAAATGTGTTCTCATTTGTTTAAACTTGCTTGTGTCTAAAGTCAACAAGCGCCTGGATGAGTGGGTCACAGGAGACAGGCTGGACATGAAGAAGCTTCAGTTTCCTAAGAAAGAAGCTAAAACACCCACCAAGAATGGTCTTTCAGGCTCCCGTCCCAGTTCTCCAGAGAGAGAAGTGGTAAGAGTATGCTACTCCACTAAATATTTATCTAAGAACCCTAAACATTGCAATAATACAGTCGGGTTTGGCATTGTCATTTTACCATTGGGAAGACAATAGTTCATACAATATAATAATGTTAAAAATAGATGGTTGACAGCTGCGACAGTGAGTGATTTTAAAAGACGGCCGCTGGATGTTATTTCTATTAGATGAGTGAGATAATATATTTCAGACTAGTTACAGGATACGCACAGACATTTAAAGGTAATGTTGATTTAAATCTCAATTACTTTGAATATTGCTTTATGTATATAATAACCTGTATCATGTAGATCAGAAAGCAAGTTAGATTAGTACTTGTGATCAGTGGTCAATATTGCAAGCAGCAAAAAGAATATTATAGTGTTTTTATGTGTTAATCCTTTTCACTGGTGGCTGAGCATGGAAAACTCAATGTAACTACAATGTATAAGCAGCCTTTTGTATGTCAGTTAGTAATGACCTACACTATGTTGCATGATGCAATGTTTTGTTAGAATCTACCACCAAAATATATGATGTGTTTATTAGCTGTATGGGCATGGAAACATACATTTAACCCATCCTCCAAAATTAATATTTTAATAATTTTAGCAAAACTGTTGGGGAACGCTCCATTTATAAGAAATATTGCAATCATCAGTTTTAATTCTTACATTTTTGTATTCATACTTAAGATCTGATTTTGATTCCCAGTTCATTTTTAATGCAGTGTTATTGAAGGCACTAGTTAGATTGTGTACAATGAATACGATGAGTATTACCCTGAGGGTTAACGTGAATGTCAGTTAACCCCCTTTCTTCTCTTCCTTTCTGTTCAATTCAGAGGAAGAGTCTAGATCTCAACGTACAACCTGCCACAGCTCCTTCCAGAGGCAAAACCCTCCCCACACCGGTACAACTTGAACTTACACATTCTAGAAATGACTGAGACCTTGTTTAAACCTGGTGTTAACATGCATCTTGTGTGATCATACAGCTATCGGGTCATGCTGAACTGCATGGAAATCCAGATATAAACAACCATGACATAAAAAAAGAAGATGATGATCCAGTCGTGCAGATCACATCTGGAAGTGCTTTAACACACAGTGTATCCAAATGTTTGTCAGGTGTATGCACTGGACTTGTCAAGCCCCGTTTCAGCTTCAAATCTGTCAAGGTAGCTGGTATTCTCTGTCTATGTTGTAATCTCTCATGTAGTGCTGAAGATTGATTATCCTATGAGCTTTCATTGTCTGCAGACGTTAAATGATTTTTTTTTTTTGTTTCTTTCAAAATCACATGTTCTAAAGCCGCTAAAAATAAATTGCACATCAAGGAAAAAAAGTTGAAAGTTGTTGATGCATGCCAATTGGCATTTTAGGGGTGAAAAGATTCCTGAAACCACATTTTTAACTGTATGTGTAATCCCAATGCAGTTGCAGCTGATCTGTGTCTCTCGCATCTTAATACCAGGTTTGAATAGGGTGTAATTCACATTGGACTAGTTTAACCTGGAGATAAGCAAAAATAGTTAAAACCGACACAGTCTTTGCTCAAATCAGTAAACAAACTGCAGGTAATATTAAGATGGCACTTCTTCATGAAATACTAGAGCATCCAGCTTTTTGTCATTACATTGGTGTGTATTTTGATAAATTAAACACATGCGTCTGGTCTGGCTGGAATCATAAAATCTTGTTTGGAAGCAAAAATTCTGATTCAGTTCAAGTGTTTGGTCTGTCTGTACTAATTTTAAACTAAATGTCTAACCACGTTTGTCTGCTGCAGAAGAGGAAAGTAGAGGCCGTCCCCTTGGCGACTCAGGTATCCCCGGCCACCCCTGTGCCCTCCCTGCCAAGTTCAGCTGAAGCCTCTCAGGCATCTGTTTTTCCTGCTGTGAGGGAGACCAACACCTTCAAGTCCCGTGAAGACCATGACCAGCTCTCCTCGCTCACAACAGTATGGAAAATAAATCGTCTTGGGTTGTTCATTGTTTGAGTTGAAGCCTTTTATTGTTGGCTAAAAGATTTCTCTTTCTAACAATAGAACGGCACTGCCCGACGACTAGTCCCGTCACAGCCCGGGAGGAAGCGGAAAGCAAACTGTGGCGGAGCTGAAGAGGTATGTAACTTCAGTATATTTCATCTTTACAGTTGGCTTTTTATTTTCTCATTTCGAATGTGTATCTTCTATCAGAGTCTGCATCGATTTATCCTCTTATTTTGAGCTACTTTGCACCAATTCTACACCATAGTCAAACAATATATCCATCTTCTATATCACTATTAGTGGCCAAATACTGCATGTGAGCAGAAGTTTTAAAAATGGTTTTGCAGAAGTGTTTGTCAGAAGACAAATCTCAAATTTAATATCAAGAAAAGCAAAAATATTTCCCAGATTCGTAAGAGAAATACCTATTTCCCTTCTCATTTTACCACCATGCTCATTTCTCTATAAGCACTCATAGAAATCACAAGTGTGTGAGTATGTTGACAAAAATATTTCCCAATCAATACTTTTAATTTGTTGTGTGTGTGTTACATTACACGGCTGAGACTAAAATAAAAAAAGAGCTTGATTTAGTTTGAATGTTCAATTATTGAATAATATATTTCTGACTAACCGAATCAAACATAATTTTCTATAACATACACACAACTGTTGGTGATCAAATTCTGTGCTTTCTTACAGTTTAATTTCTCCTTTCTCCAAATCGTTTTGTTCTTTGTTGTATTTATTATTCATTTTCATGTGAAGTTGAGTTGGTTTATATTGACATTTCGTTTTGCTACATTTTGAAATGTGTTGCTTTGCCTGAATGAATTGCTGCACCTGAACAATGAGGAGTATTAATTTACATCTTGATATGAGTCATTGGCGTACCAAAAAACAAAACTGCAAACCCAAATCAATCTATAATATATGTATATTCTACATTTGTATTTTAAAATGTTCACAATCTTTGACAAAATAATCTAAAATGTATTTTCATTGTTGTTGAGAGATTGGTAGCGCAACAGAAGAGCTGATTGTAACCATTTGATTATATATGTAAGAAGCTGCGAGTTACACACACTGAGAATCTGAGGTTTAATGTCACTAAATGAGGCAGAAACCAAATCTAGAAAGTCCGACCTCCGCTGGAGTTTCTATTCACCCCATCAAGCTACGTGACATGAGCAGCTCAGCTTTTGTATTGAGTTTAGAAAATTGCTGCAGCTGACATCCCACGTTCTCACATCATCTCTGAAGAACAGTGGTCAGTGGGTTAGTAATTGGTCTAACATTTGTGTTTGCTCTTTTCTTTACTCTTCATGCATTCTCTAAATTCTCTATCACTACTGTGTTCTGATCCCTGATGAAACTGACCTGTAATGCACTTAAACTCCAAATGTTACACTGAAGTTCAATCTGCCCCCTAACCAAAGTGTTCG